TATGTCCCCATTCACGTAAATACAGTAATAAATTTATCTCCAGCTGTGCTGGTTAAAATCTCTGCCTGAAGGCAGAGAGGATCCCCAGACGAAGCAATGTCGAAGGTCAGTGTCTCATCTTGGGAAACAGCTACTCAACCCCATTTTATGTGGGGTCAGCGGGGAATTTTCGGCTGAGCCTATGGGCTTGGATAGCCCACATTAAATTTGGCCTTGTGCCACATCTGACCACGTGGGGTAGTTGGTAGATATCCTGCAGTTGAAGATTCATTGTGGAATTCACTTGACTCACTTCTAGCAGTTGACTACTTCTACACCCCGCTGGTGAATCTTATATGTATTGTTCTTGTCCTAAGTATTATCGTGCATTATCAACTTCCGTTTGATTATTCTATTCAGTAACCTTCCCTAGGTTACAAAGTAGTAATTAGCCATGATTAAGTGTAATTGACAAAAGTTTTCAATAAGCAATAAAGACAAAAAAAAAGGACAGCGAAATAATATAAAGCAAAAAATATACCAGGTGTAACAGTAAAATTGTCCAAGTTGTGTTACAGCATAATTGTCCATTCCACAAAATATTTAATATCTAAAAAACACTAAACTAATTGAGTTTCTTTTTTACAGGTTTTCAGGTATGACATTTTGCCATCTTGATACCATTTGTCATAAGAATCACTAAAATGTCCTTTGAGTTATTCAGTAAGAAAGAGAACAGGTTAAAATTGTTTTGTGTCAGCCCCATTGTCTTCTAAATCGAGCAATGGTGATAGGAAAAAGATCATTCAGTCCTTCAGTAATGGTATCAACATTCATACCCTGGCTTCCATCTTCAAAGTCCAGTCAATAACCATCAAGAGAATGGTGAATAAATTTAAAAAAGATTTGAATGATAATGAGAAAATTGGATCAGGAGGTCCCAACAGGAAGAGAGATCATCATTTCAACTTAGAGCTAAAGAGAGCAATTAAAAAAGATCCAACTCAATCCATGAGACGTTTGACATGTGGGAGAAGAGCTTCAGCTATGACAGTCCAAAGAACAGTAAAAAAAAAAAAAAAATAAAGACTTGAAAATGAAATCATACATGAAATGTGTGAGGCACTTTGATACTCCAGGACAGAAAGTTAGAAGGTTAGAGAGGTTGAAGATCATTTTGAATAAGTTCGGAAATGATCCTGGAATAATATTTATATACATTTGAACTTTATTTCAATCCTTCATGAGCTTCTGATCCTTAGCTATGATTAATTAATGATGAACATGTGATTTTCATTTATGATCGATTTCATCACAATTCTTCTGTTAAGCTTGGAGAGTAATTATACATTTTTATTGCTCAGAGTTGAGTCCAATAGTGTTATAAAAATCTTGGAGAATTCCAGTAAGATATCTTTAATCATTTATAAGCTTTATCTAACAATTGGACAATTTTGCTGTTATACTCTGTGTGTGTGTTTTTATATATATATATATATATATATATAATGCAAGTCAAAACAAAGCAACCACAATAAGGCAAAAGAGAAATGTGGGGTGTGGGGATGAGACTGAAAAATGTCAGTTTTATTGGTTAGGAATAAATCTCTGTGTGCAACTGTAGGATTTGACTTTAAAATTGGAGAGGGCGGTGTTTTAGCAGGCATTCCTATGGAGTGGAGCCAATGAAAATAATGCTAACAGATATAAACTTTGTAAGGCCCCAGTGAGATATGTGCATGCCTTAAGTCAGTAATTGAGCTTTGCTTTATCAAAGAGACTACAAGTGATACACAAGAACATTTATCAGAATGTTCCAAAAGAATTAAGTGATAGAAATGTGGTTATGCAGAAGGATGCTGAGAATGCCAACAACTGAACTAGTGAGCAACAACAAAGTTTTAGAGAAAATGGAAACAAAAATGGCACTTATACATAGCATCAGGAAGTTGAAATTTCTAGGGTCCATTACAAGGAAAGAGGGTTTGGAATATTTGATACTCACAGGATGGATTAAAGGCAAGAAAACAATGTATAACCTACCTAGCAAACTTGGGATGACAGAACAATGTTTAGGAGAGATAGCAAAAAGGCAACATTTATTAAGAGTTAAAAAGAGTTGGCTATGATAGTCAACACAATCAAGGGACATAGCACATAGAAGAAAAAAAAAGAATTCTGGTTTAAACAATAAAGGCTGGTAAATAAACTGCATTATTTAAATTTTATTTAATCTGTTTTTATAAGATTTAATTAATGCTTTTCAACTTTTGAGAGCTTAAGTGATTACTTTCAGGTTTTATACACAAAGCATAGAAATTTTGGGATATATACCTTACAGTGATAGTGTAATGGATAATAGCTTATATTGAGGAATCAGAGTGCTGAGTTTGAAATCCAGTTGAGTTTCTTACATTCACTTATGTGCAAATACCTTTGGACAAGGTATGAATCCAACTCTTCTCCTCCCAGCTTTGGGTTAATAGTAGGACAGACTGGGTCCGATAGCTGTGTGTGGCAACCAGTCTAGAAGAAGGACAACTCTGAATTCAAAACATCCAGCTATAGGTTAAATAACAGAGCAGATTGGGCTCTTCAACCTTGAGTGCCAATCAGTCTAGGAGAAGAACAACTCTTGATTCAAAGCCGTATGTAGCCCTTGTGAAGCACATACTATACAGCTAATGAAAGGATCATCGAACTTACAATGACTCTATGATCCTGACTATCGTTGACCAGAAATAAATATATACTGGGTGCGATGTATAAATTGTCGTCTAGATTATGCAAAAATGAAAATAACACTGACATTTCATTTTAACAGATATATCTATCAAAATTACACAAAAATATCTTGAAATATTAAAGAGTAAATTTAAATCAATAAAATCACTATTGGCTTCAAACACAGCCTCCAGATGACTTCAGAATCTCCTGCAACTCTTCTAGACTGTCTCCTTGTTTAAGTTGGTGAATGCTGCCATAGTACTTGCCTTCAGTTCATCTTTGGTGTTACAAGGAGATTTAAGGTCTCTTGCTCAACTGCGCCCCACACATAATAATCAAGGAGGTTGTAGTCTGTGGAGTCAGATGGCCAGATGTAAGAGGTGATGTGATCGCAGAAATTGTCTGACAGCCATGACTGTGTTTTCCTGCTTGTGTGGCATGGTGTGGAGTCCTGTTGCCAGGCATAGGGTCTTCCAGCAGCCACGCTCTTGATCCAGAGCAGCACTACCTTCTCAACACATTTGATGTAGGCCTCTGTGGAGGTCCTGTGGGAAGATGAATGGCAGCATAATATCACCATCGCTAGTGATCACTCCAAACACTTTTGTAATCAAGATTTAGATTCATCTAACTCTTTTTGAATCCTCTGCACTGTCCTCAGATTGACACCCAAATATTCTGAAATATTCATATTAGAGCTTCTGCCATGAATGCCAAGCATGCCGTTTCCAAATTTCTGGTGGGGTGAATTGAGTCATGGTGCTCTTTTTCTCACAGACTGTGCCTAACTAACCCTACTATACTGGTCAGTTGACAAAATCAAATACAAACATGCGCAAAATTGAAAAATATAAAATGGTGACAATTTACTCATCGCACCCTGTGTGTGTGTGTATATATATATATATATATATATATATATATATATATATATATATATAAAGCCAGATGGAGGCAGCATAAGTGCTCTTTCAACAATATAAATAAAAGAAATCAGACATCTCTATCTAAATATTTTTGGCATTTGAAGGAAATGAATAAAACACCAAAAGTAAAATGGAAAATTATAAACAAAACTAGAACTTGTAAAACTTGGGATGACCCATGCCCTTTATGCCTACATGAAAAACTACACATTATTAAGTTTCTAAATAATAAAATTTATTAAACAATAGACATGAGTTAACGGTTTTTGCCGACATCATCAAATTTTTTGCATTGAATAATTAGCATAAAAACTAACAAACAATAAAATAATTTTTAAAATCCATAGTCCTAATAAATAGTTTAAATGCCCTACCAAAAAAGATAACCCTTTATGAAGTCATCAAAAAACAAATGTTAGCGATTTACGACAGTTTTTATATACACAAAACCCTTTCAGAAAAAAATAAAAAATAAAATAAAAAAATAAATAAATCTCCATAGACGCTTAACCAGACTGGATGATGTCATCTTCTGCTTTAAATTTAGACACCCCAACCTTACCCTGACTTGACATCTGTGAATGTAACTGAGATATTGATACAAATTATTAACACCTTACGCCCTTTTTTCTTTAAACAATTGCTCTATCTGTTACCATGGAAATTTTGATTTTAATAATGAATATGCTTATAAAACATGTAAATTTCAGAAATAAGTTATTCCAAAAAAAATTTTGCTTATTCAATTTAATTCTAATAATTATATTGAAGTTTTCGGCTCTTGTTTTGAAACATGAGAACTCTTATGTAGCGTGTTGGAATCATATTTTTAAATAAATAAATATATATTCAAAAGTTCATTTTGGCAGAAAAGTACAAGAAATATGGTCCGAGCTTTTGACTTCAGTCACCAGGGTAGTTAGAGACAAATATTTGGTAGCTTTGTAAGTTTCCTTCTTGTTTGAGAAAGATTATTCATTATTTACAAAAATTGATCAGTAAAATGAATTGACACAAAATGTCTGTCTTTAATATATATATATATATATATATATATATATATATATATTACATAGAAAAGATTACTTTTTCTTGGATGCAAGTTTTATTCAGACAAGGTTTAAACGCTTTCAACAGCAGAATCTTGGATTTACTCCCTTTCTTTTCATTTTTACTATTTGTCTTGAGCAATTCATCAATATTGTCAGATGTCATTTCTCATAGATTAATGAGTTATTTTTATAAAGTATTTCTAAATTTTGTCCAAAGCTTTGAATTTTGACAAACAAATGAGATGTGACGTTCTTATCAATGGTAGATGTTGTCTAGACATTTTCATACAATAAATGAATATTTATTTAATTTCAGGTGCAACATTTGGAGGAAAGTAATGCAGCCATGTGTGAAGATCTCCTGCAAAAGACGGCTATTATTGAATATTATGTTATGGATGGGCGATCAGGTAAGAATGCTAAAATATTCATTAAATTGAGCTAAAAAAATTTTTTTTGTAGTTGTACTAATAGAATTGAATTTTGCTTGTTTTTATTTAAATCAATTAGGTTTACTTAACTTTTGGTTTACTAGAATATTTTTGCAACTGAAGTGTGTTGAAATCCTTACAGTATTTAGTATTGTTGAAGTTATCGCTTCCTCGGCTCATTTGAAACTTTCCCTATTGTGTTTATATTTCCAGTGCTACTACTGTGGATTATATTTTACCAGGATGAACTATATATATATATATATATATATAAACTTAAACAAAAGACACGCAAAAAACAATATTGCATTTTTATTAAATCGGTATTTATTTTAACCATTAAATTGTTTTTTTTTTTTTTAAATAGTGGGAGTATTTTGTATGTGAAATAATAAAATGTTTAATTTTGCTCCCAAAATTGAATGAAAATTTATTGTACTAAATTTACACCTTAGTAAAACCAACTGTAATTTGTAGCCCTTTACCTGTTTGCATTTCTCCTGAAAATTTGGTTTCTATCTGTCAATGTATAGCTATTTTAGAGGGTGGGACAGACGGACTAACAGAAGTCACATAAATTTATATATATATATATATATATATATATATATATATGAGAGAGAGTACATCCTTCAAATCTATAAATCAACCATTCGCCCTTGCATGGAATACTGCTGCCATATATGGTCTGGTACCCCCACTGTTCATCTCAAGGTTCTCGACAAAATCCAGAGATGGATGTGCAATGTGATTGGTCTTGATCTGGCATCTCATCTACTGTGCCTTTCTCACAGATGTGTCATCGCTTTCTTCTGTCTTTTCTACAAATACTTTCATGCTAACTGCTTGCTGGTTCCCAAACAGCATGAATTTAAGCGTGCTACTAGGTTGGCATCTCAGTTCCACCCTTTCAATTTCAAAACTGTTAAATGTAGCCGTCTCTTCTACTCCAATAGCCTCATGTCTCACACTTCCTGTCTGTGGAACTCCCTTCCTTTTTACTTGTTTCCCTAATAGCTATAATCTTCAATTATTCAAATGCAATGTCAGTCAACATCTTCAGATGCCTTGATCAAATTCCCCGTCCTTCTCTTCATTCTTTTTTCTCTCACGCCTCTTTACTCTTGCTCCAACTCTCCGTAACTCCTTACGTGCTAGTGGCACTCCCACCTTACTTAGGGTGAAATGCTTAAATATATATATATATATATATATATAAACTTATAGTTTTAAATGATTTGTAAAAGTTATTAGTAATGATAATTGTTATTTTCTGTACAACTTGAAAGTTAAAACAGGGTCTTACACAACAGTGGCATTACTTCACCAAACAATAGAAAAATGTTCCTTGAGGAGAAATTTAAAAAAAAAAACTTATATAATGTCTAAAGGATAAATACACTTTGGCAGGAAGGGAAATAAGCTACTGCCACTGCTTAGAACACATTCATTAGGCTGAGGAATAGGAGTCTAATTTGTTAGACAAGGATGGTGAGTTCAATCCTAGTTTAGACCACAAGAGTCAGTGTAGTTAATAACACTGGTATCACTAAAACCATTATCTTAAAGAAAAATAAAATTCTTACAATCTAAAAGTATTTTCTGGCTTTAAATAACCTGCAATGGGTTGATAAGCCATAGAAAATGAATTGATCATAAAACCATTTTAATTCGATATGTTGGAGTAGGCATTCCTGTTTTTTTTTGTTTTTTTCAAACAGTGATAGTAGTGTCTACTGGCCTGAAGATTGCGAATTCTTATTGGAGAAAAGGAGGCATATCTTCTCATTTGGTTCCTTATATTCATTATACGCAAATACTCTTGGGAAAGGTATGAATCCACCTTTTCTCCCCCCCCCCATTATGGGTTAATTATTAGTAAAATTTGTATCATTAAAACCATTATTATCCCCTAAAAATAAAATAAAAATTACATGCAAAATATTTAGATTTCAGTATTAAATGACCCATAGATGTTGATATGCCATTAAACAAAAGCAACCAACCAATCTACATGACTTCCCTCTTCTTACAGAGAAAAAAAGTTTGTAACACTGTCTCAGCTCTGGAAGGTTCCAGACTCATCAAAAATCTTGATTCTATGAAGGCTACTGCTCCAGATAAAATCATTGTTGCTATACTCAAGAACTTTTGCCCAGAATTATCTCTGATCCTCGCAAAGTTTTTGTAACAGCATCATGAAAGAAAAATGTTTCCTAAACCTGTGAAAGTTGTCAGCTGTTTGTCCTGTTTTAAGAATGTTATTGAGTATTAATTTTCAAGGTTGTATTGTCCCATCAGACTCTTGAGTGACAAACATGATGAATTTCGCTTGTCTAACACAGCTGTTGATGATTTCACGGCCATTACTCCTAGAATCAGTGAGGCAATCATTAGTAGCTTTGTCACCAGAACAATTGCTTTGTACATTTCAAAGGCTTTTGACAAGTTGTCATATAGAGGGTTGCTACTCAAACTTTCCAACCATGGCATCTCTGGAAGAGTTTATGCAGTCCTTCTTGAAGGTTACTATGAATGGCCAGTCTTCTTAAGCTCATGAGAACAATGCAGATGTCCGCAAAGGCTCACTTTCCAGTCCTGCTTTTTATTAATGTTCTACTGAGGAACCTTCTAAGATCATTAGCAAATATCTGTGGAGGTAATAGCACTAAATGTAACCAAAGATTTCTGCTGTGTAGGAAAATAAATTGGAAATGCTTGACTGTAACCCTCATATCCTCTGTGCTGAATGATTGTCAAAACTGTATTGTTGGATTTGATGTAATGATTGATGGGAAGGATATCTAGTAATAATGATTATCACTTGAACCACAGATAAATAAGGCTTCTTGTTGCCTGTTAATATATCATAAAAAGAGGCCCATGTTCTAGTGTCTGTTCATTTACTGCTTTATGTGGAGGGAGCTGTAAGAGAAATAACTTAGATGATCTGAATCTGTCATTTCTTGATATCTTTAACAAAGAGGAGATAAAAAAAAAAAGGTGAAAAAAGTAATTTCATGAAATCAAAATTTCTGCACTGACATAATCATATGCAAAACAAGAAATCTTTTTTTTTTTCTCTTGATGTATTTATTTTAATCATTGTTTCCACCTGAATGAAAATGCCAAAATTTTGTTTACCTGCATTGTCTTTCTGTTGATATCCAGAAAGGAAATTCGCAGCACACAACACTTTAATTTTCACTTGATATAGTTTTCAAAGCAACAGTCTATTTGGAAATGCCTATCATCCAGTTATCTTCATAGAATCTATTGTAGCTCACCCTTAAAGATAGGCATTATTATGGTATGCTATGTTTTTGGAATTCAGTTTTCCTTCTCCAAGTGCCATGTCACTTGAGGACAAAGACAATCACAGCTTCTTACAGCTTACTTTTTTTTTTTTTTTTTTTTTTTTTTTTTTCAATAAAAGTGTATATTGCTGTAAACATTGTTTGGTAAGGTAATGGAAATGAATGGCTTCCTGTTTCCCACTTCATGATTTTAAATTCAGATTTGTCCTTTTAATTTAGTTGCTAACCAAGTTTAAAGAACTCAGTTTGTTCTGTTTAACTCAGTGCTGGAGAAAGAAAAGGTGGATTCATGTCTTTCCTTAGGGTAATTGTGCCAAAGGAACAGAAACTCTGAGTTAATGACTACTGTGTTTTCTAGAGTCAACCAAAGCTATAGAAGTACTTTGTTTTTTTCTTTAAGCTTTCTCAGTTGGGTCTATTATTTGTAGATAGTCTGTTGTTAAGTACCCACTCCTAAAAGCTTACTATTCATGTAGCTGATTTTTATGTAGGATGTTTGTTAGTTTGTATGTACTTTTGAGAATAATTTGAATACTAGCAAAATCAGTGTAAATTACACAGATTTACTAATATTTTTTTAAAGGCTGTACTTTGTACTTTTCAATCAATGACCATTCCCATATGGTTATAAAAAAATGACATAGTCCTTCATAAAAAATACTGAAATATCCTCAACAGGTCATTAGAAAACAGGATTTAACCCCTCACTACAAAGAACTGCCTTTATCTAAGATAATCTACTCTCCAATCCCTCTTTATGTTGCACGCTCTTTTTGTCTCTCTTTGTCCCTGCCTGTCTCTCTTGTTCCTCTCTCTTTTTTGTCTCTCTTTGTCCCTCTCTCTTTTTGTCTCTCTTTGTCCCCCCTCTCTTTTTGTCTCTCTTTGTCCCCCTCTCTTTTTGTCTCTCTTTGTCCCCCTCTCTTTTGTCTCTCTTTGTCCCCCCTCTCTCTTTGTCTCTCTTTGTCCCCCCTCTCTTTTTGTCTCTCTTTGTCCCCCTCTCTTTTTGTCTCTCTTTGTCCCCCTCTCTTTTGTCTCTCTTTGTCCCCCTCTCTTTTTTGTCTCTCTTTGTCCCCCCCTCTTTTTGTCTCTCTGTCCCCCCCTCTCTTTTTGTCTCTTTGTCCCCCTCTCTCTTTTTGTCTCTCTTTGTCCCCCTCTCTCTTTTTGTCTCTTTTTGTCCCCCTCTCTTTTGTCTCTCTTTGTCCCCTCTCTCTTTTGTCTCTTTGTCCCCCCTCTCTTTTTGTTTCTCTTGTCCCCCCTCTTTTTTGTTTCTCTTTGTCCCCCCTCTCTTTTGTCTCTTTTGTCCTTCTCTCTCTCTGTCTCTTTTGTCCCCCTCTCTCTCTTTTTGTCTCTCTTTGTCCCCCTCTTTCTCTTTTGTCTCTTTGTCTCCCCCTCTCTCTTTTTGTCTCTCTTTGTCCCCCTCTCTCTCTCTTTTTTGTCTCTTTTTGTCCCCTCTCTCTCTCTCTTTGTCTCCCTCTCTCGCTTTTTGTCTCTCTTTGTCCCCTCTCTCTTGCTTTTGTCTCTTTTGTCCCCCCTCTCTCTTCTTTTGTCTCTCTTTGTCCCCCCTCTCTCTCTTTTTTTGTCTCTTTGTCCCTCTCTCTCTCTTTTTTTGTCTCTTTGTCCCTCTCTCTTTTGTCTTTTGTCCCTCTTTGTCCCTCTCTCTCTCTCTCTTTTGTCTCTCTTTGTCCCTCTCTCTCTTTTTTGTCTCTTTGTCCCTCTCTCTCTTTTGTCTCTCTTTGTCCCTCTCTCTCTTTTTGTCTCTCTTTGTCCCTCTCTCTCTCTTTTTGTCTCTCTTTGTCCCTCTCTCTCTCTCTCTCTTTTTGTCTCTCTTTGTCCCTCTCTCTCTCTTTTTGTCTCTCTTTGTCCCTCTCTCTCTCTTTTTGTCTCTCTTTGTCCCTCTCTCTCTCTTTCTGTTTACCTCTTGGACACTCATCACAGACTGGGTTTAATAGAATTTTCGATTAGAAGAACATCATCTATTTTTATTACATTACAAAATTATTAAGATTTCAATTTCACATGCAGTTCAGGCACAAATTTTTCCACAACATATCATTTGGTCATGAAACATGATTTAATCCCTCTCTACAAACAACTGCCTTTATCTAACATGACCCCCTTCCAATCCCTCTCTGTGTTGCACTGTCTTTTTATCTATCTACATCTCTCTCTCTCTTTTTCTTACTTTCTATGTCTCTCTCTATTTCTGTTTCCCTCTTAGTATGTGTGATACCAAATGTAACTCACACCATACATAGGTACAACTGTATTAATATATAGATGCTTGGTAGTAATAGGATAGGACGATACTTGCTGAAGTCTTTATTATCTCCCTTTTTTATTTTTTTACAAAGTAGGATTGTTATTTCTAAATTGAAGTTTTAAGGTCTATTTCTTTTCTGTATACCTGAGGCTCTGCTAATCCTTTGCAGCATTTTTTTTTTTGTTAAATCTTTCAATAAATCTGTTATCATGCCATATTTGCTTGGTGCTTTTTTTTTTTTTTTAAGTACAAACTTTATTTCATTTATGGTTGCCAAACATCATTCATATCTGCCTGTGTAACTTAGTATTCTTATTTTCAAAGAATACAGTTTTTCATAGCACTTTTTGGTTATTCTTAACATATTGTCCTTATGTTTCATAACTTCTCCATTTCTATCTTTCGGTGCATGCAATTGCTGTTTATCTATTTAGATTATGGATTGAATCATTTTCAAGCTCTTCTGTTCATTGATAGCTTCTTTTGTTTCTATATTCAAGCACGAGAGAATAAAAGATTTTACATTTTCCATTTCAAATGGTGTAAACTTTAGAAATGTTTGTACAGAAAGTTAAATAAAAATGATTTACATTGTTCTCTCGATCTTTACTAAGTTGAGCTTTGTCTGGCAAAAGGATCAAATAAGTTGAGATGATTGCATTATACCAACCTCCTAAGTGAAGATGGCCTGCTTTGTTAATCTTACCATTCCAAATACTGAATTTCATCTAAGCTTAAATACTAAGGCTGGAAATGTTTAACTGTCTCATCCATCATAAAAAATAAACCCTTATTTCATCTTCATATGACATAAGGTATAATATAATTTGAGGAGTGAGGGATAGTGGCTCAGATGGAGGAATCAGAGAGCTGAGTTCGAATTCCAGTCAAATCCATTACATTCACTTACATGCTAATACCCTTGGGAAAGGTATGAATCCTTTTCTCCCTCCAGCTATGGGTAAATAGCAGGACTCTATATTGGATTCTATAGCCTTGGATAGCAACTGGTCTACTGCAGAAAGAAATAGCAACCTACTGTAGGAAAAAAATTTGCCTCGTCAGTCATGTATCAAAAGATACATGATCGCCTAAGCGTGTATCATGCATGGCACATAACTGACTGACTATAATAGAGGCATGAAAATTGTGTTGCATCAATCTTCCTAAGGGGGAACACTACTTGCCTTGGAAGTTGGCATTCAAAATTCTGGCATTTTATCTGAGTTTAAATACCAACTTGTATTGGGGAAAACCATGCAACTGCTTTAATCATGAAGCAGGACTTCAAACTTGTCTCTTACATTTGGGATCAGTCTACTAAAATGTATTATTTTTCTTAATGCTGTCCTTTATCTCTTGAAATCCTGTGTGGAATCTTAGAAGATCTTAAGAAGAATTTGCATCTGGGTAAATGTTGTTCTGGCATTGGATCAAGAACATTTCGACATTCCTTTTGCTGTGATTGTGAAATAATCTCTTTCCACTAGAAGTCCTTACCCTAACACCCTTCCTTGTGTGTGAGATAAGGGAAATTACTTTGACACTTGGAGGAGAACCTTTCTTTTTAACATTTGATGTGTTTGAAATTTCTTTTCCTTTCAGGGTGCTGGGGATATTGATCTTTGAGTCTCTCTACTCATATAACATCAATGCTCCTGGGAAGAGGGTTAGAGTAGGGGTGGAATGTCATTTTCTATTGCATATTGTTCAGGTGAAAGTGTTGCTTCAATTAGAAATACTTTGAATCAAACAGATGTAGAAATGTTTTCTTTTTAAAATGCTTACAAATTTTGGACAGAAGTGAAACAAAACGTAATTGCAGAATAAATTGACCAAATCTCTAGACGAATTGAAAATCTAAATTGTTAGAAAATATATTTATTTTATTAAAATTTGCAAAATAAATCTATGTACCATGTTATAATTCTTCTTATTCAATAAAAATCCCTCCCTCTTGCATAGACACACATGCATTCTCTCTCTCTCTCGCTCTCTCTCTCTCTCACACACACACACTCTCACTTAAATGATGCAGGATTTTATGAGCTTTATTTATTGATTCTTGTTAATGGATTGCACATTTTTATTTTTTTAAATTTTTTTTTTAAGCATTATGCTCCGAGCAAGGCGTGAAGCCACTAGGATGCAGGGTGTTGCAGAAAATTTGGAGTGAGAGCAGATAGGAGAGATAGAAGAAAGGATGAGGAGAAGGATAGTGGGTAGATCAAGGCAACTGGAGATGTCGATTGACATTACATTTGAATAGTTGGAGATTATAGCTCTCAGGGTAACAGTAATTGGGAAGGGTGTTCCACAGGCGAGAGGTGCGAGGTATGAAGCTATTGGAGTAGAAGAGACGGCTACATTTAAAAAGTTTCTACAGTGTAAGGGTGGGATGCCAGCCTCGTAGGGCGCTTTGAATTCATGGAGTCTGGGAACCAGTGAAAGCAGCTCATCGGACAATTACCATGAAAGTATTTGTAGAAAAGACAGAGAGAGGCAACGGCGCATCTGTGAGAGAGTGACTGTAGACGAGACGCCAGATCAGGGCCATGTAACTAGAAGTGGGTGGTGGTTGGGGGGTGAAATAAAGATATATTCAAGATCAACACTACCTTCAGACAAAAGGTTAAGAAGGAAAACTTTCTTCATTACTAGAAAGAGTGATAACAGATAGTGGACTTGAGAAGCACATTTTCCAGGAAAGTTGTTTTAAGAAAGAGATTTTTAATTCCAACTGACACTAACAGTTAATGAATGCCAAATGTTTCCTGTTTGGAAACTGCTGTTGCTGATGAAAACATTTAGTTCTGACAGAAAAAATACAGTTAAATTATAGTATAGTATGTTATGTTATGTTTTTTTTTTTTTTATTATTTCAGTTTTTGTGGAATATTTAGTGATGTTGGGAAGTGCTGTGTAGTTAAACACACAATTTGGCTAGAAATTCTTCCAGATGATAATCACCAAATATTTTTATACACATTTTTATTATGAATATTACAATATAACAAGTAATTAGGGTTTGCTATCTCACAGTCATCAGAAAAAAAATAATTCTAAACAAAAAAGTGACACACACATTATTCTGTTTTCCATAGAGAGAGAAAATTAAAGAAATGCTTTTATTAAAAAGTGAAAACATAAAAAATTGGTTTAAAGTTGTGTATTTTTTTTATCAATGTTAGAGGCTAGTGTTCATACCCAGGTAATGGCTAGAAATTCAGATGCTGTTTTTCTAGGCATGAAAATCCTCTCCAATGTATACGTGAGCCATCGTCTTAACACCATTTAGAACTTGTCATGGGCATATCATTTGACAACTTACAATCCCAACCACAACCTCTCACTACTTCAGCATTGTTAACATCTCAGCCTAGTCACCCAACTGTTATGACATCCATTGAATAAAACAAAAAAGTAATTGAAAAATTGGCCTTTATGTATTCTGTTGTGCCTATGTTGATGTTGTTAAAAGAAGCCTTGTGATTGGCCTCATGTTTTGTCTTTTAATTTAAAATATCTTCTTTTTTTATTCTTTCTCACTGCTATGACACCTCAAAATATCTTGTCTTTGACAGAGACAAAGGTTTTATAACTTCTGCCTAATATATGTTGGAACGTTTTCAATGATCATTTATATGCTTTTCTATTCATCATGCTCACCTTGGTTGTTATACTGACAACACTTTGGCTGTTGTGCCATCCAGCCTTCATCAGGTGTCTGCTGTTATACTTAATAACCTTTGCAATTTTGAACCAAACTCTTTGCTCTATCCCCGTGGACTGAATATTCTCATTCTACTGTTCATTCGTAGGGGATATTTTATATCAGCTACAAAGCCACACAGATTACGTGACTTTTTCAGATCCAGGGATTGAACTTCTAACATTCCTAGCAGCAGATTATTTTTAATGAGTGATTTTATCCACTGGGTCATGAGTCTCTTGGACACATCTATCTTGATATGGGGCACAAATTGTCAAGATAATGTTCTCAACTTTCCTTATCGAGTGGAGTTGTTCAGGATATTCATTGAACTTCTTCAGAGTTTAGGGATATTTGCAAATTACTTTTGCCAACCCTTGCATTGTTTTACTTTTTGTAAACTCTGAAATTATTAAACATTTCTTTTTATCCATGAAATCAAATCTTTGGACCCATTTAAAAGCTTCAAATTTGCAACATGGATATTAACTTGAGATTATGAAATTTAGGACATTTCATATAAATGCTTGTTTTTTGTTTATGTCTGTGTTGAACAAACCAGTTTTTTTGTCCAAACTGTACAGATAGATGTACAGGAAATAAACTTTTAGATTTTAAGTAATTTTTTTATCAGATCTCAATAAACCATAAATTTGCTAATAATGAGATGCAATATATATATATATATATATATATATATATATATATATATATATATATATATATATATATATAACATCATGTTCATATGCAATCAAAAAATCAAAAAGTTCTTAATATCTTTTCAATTTCTACAGTTTTACTAACAAGATGGAAACATTGTTCATAGAGAGATGTTGGAGTTAGTCTATATTGTTTTATTCTTTTTAGTAAATATCATTTTTTTATACACACACAAATATAAGGGTTACTAGATAGATAGATTCAGCTTAAAAAGTGGAAGTGTACAATTATATTTATCCACACTGGAAAAG